ATTGAATTTTAATTGGATTAGCGTCTACCAGACTAGTGTTGGTGTGCGCATGCATGTGGTACAGTAGTACGGTTGTGACCTGGATTTAAGACAAGGACAAGGTGACACATTGCAATATCATTTGGTCAAATGCAAACAGCGATGGAAATTGCACAATATCAGGTTTAAATTGCACGATGTGGATTTCCTTGACGATAAATAATATCATGTATCACGCAATTAAAACAAAGTTAACCTTTTGTTTAAGTCTGGGGTTTAGTATAATTACATATAAAAAGATTGCATCTAGCGAAAGGGGCAAATACAGGAATGAAAGACAAACAATAGAGTTGAAGACCATGTAAAATTGAAAGACGTATAACTTCATTTATTCCATGTGAAATTATATATTCTCTTGGCGTAACAGTAAGTTGCCAAATATTTGTTTCAGCAAACATCAAAGCCTTGAGCTATATAATTTTGTTCTAATCTTGTAAACTGCTATCAGTCCATATCTTTTTTCTATTAATTTGAACAAAGTTTATCGGGCATCTGCCATGTTTCCTCTTTAAGACAAACATTGAGAATAACCACCCTTGAGACACTTTACCTAATTTAAGGTTACCCCAGACATATCACGAACATAACACAATTATGCACACCCAGCTCCAGACAATCCGAAAACTAATTAAGGAGTCTACTTCCAAAAATAAAGCGAAGATGTCAACCAAAGTGTCCTTAGAGATAAGTATAGATATTTTAGTAAGAAAATAAAATATGTCTTTGCAAATCGATCGAAATCAATTATAAAGTTGTATCCGAAGGTTTTATTCTACCAGAACAGCATAACGGCTGAATTTTTTCTGTTATGCCTTGTTTTCTTCAGCTGATTTCTGTTGACACTAAAAATCCAACTACTCGTTTGAAAACAATATGATTGGTTAACACGATTCTTACCTAAGACATGGCATATCTTTTTGTTGGACAGAAGAGAGGTCGAACAGTTAATAGCGACTAGGTCCAACTATTAGAAAAATTCTTGGTGTCTTTTGTTAAAGCACGCCTCTTAAGACCATACATTAAGAGAATACATTAGAAGTGATATCATATGTTATAGACAGAGTAAGAATATCTGTCCTTGTTCACAATATTAATAGATACCTATAGTTATAACTGAATGGAACGATAGTTCGAATTTGGATTTTTAAAAAAACACAAAAAAAACCCCGAATCCATCGGGGTAGAGGTTCATTGTAATTGGCCAACAGTAGTTAAAAAAGGAGAAACTAATTGATTTGGGTCCCAAATATTGGGTTCATCTGTGTGTTATTAATTTAGATTAAAGAAGGAACCGTGGTATCAGGTGTTCTAAAAAGAGTAATCTTACATTGCATTACGCCCGTTGTCTGTCATAACTAATAGCCAAATGGTGCGAGAGAGTGAACTCGTGTAAACCGAATGGGGTTCTTTACTATCGTTTTCACCATGAATTTTAAAGTGTTCATTAATATTGGTTTTAAATAATAATATTAAAAATCTACTATTTCTCACAATAAATGATTCAAGCCGCCACTTTTGTTTTGTTACAAGAGCGCAGGAACTGGTAAACTCAGACCTCATTGGACGCCAGAATGCTGCACCACTGACCATACATTCTCACTAACGAGTCTCTAAAATATTATGCAATTAATTGATCCACCCCTGGTTTACGACTTCAATCTTACAAACCAAATATAATTTATGATTTTACGTTTGAATAGAATTCTTTTAATAGTGAAAATTGTCTTATGGCTTACATATGAAGACGTTGAAAATCGATGCATACAGTATTAAAATGTCTTACATACAAAGATGTAAAAATATCTTAATCAGACTTTTGGCTAACGTTCTCAATTCCTGATACCATAAAACGCATTAAAATGGCGCCTATTCTACAATCACTCCCCTGTTTACAGCTAATAACCTACAAATGAAATTATCAAAATCTGGGAAAATATATGTCTTTGATAAAAAAGGAATATTCAAAGTCAAAAGAGTTATTTTGAATAAATGATATTATTTCATCTCTCGACTGGGGTTAAAATTATGTCTTAATTGTGTGTAACTATGGAATTAATTAAACAGGAGTTGATATATATATTTCTACATTCTATTCTCATTAAAATTATGTGTTTTCATTTTTTTGCTTTTGTTTTATATACCGTATTTTTATATATTAATTCAATAAAGAAAAGCTATATTAGAGATGTCAAAGTGACCTAGTATCGATTACACATTCATAGTCATCCGTTTGATCGGTTGGCGTTCTGATCATACACATGTATATCAGAACAATAAAGATGATACGAGTCACAGTTTCAAAATTTTACATGTATATAGATCCAACATCAAAAAACAGTTTGAAAATGAACAAACAGATTTCCTAATATTATACATGTACGCACCTAAATGAGCAGATATATTGTCTCTGATTTTATCAAATTCTCTGGTAATTCCCCACACCCCTTCTGCTCAAATTGTTGGACACGTCCCTGCCTAACCAAACAGAACATAAGGTGAATTTAAATTAAATCGCTGAACCGAAAATACCATACTTTTATTTATGTATTCAATATCTTGTAATCCGTTTGTTTGTTATAAACTACATGTAGAACGAAATTATAATAGACTAGATGTGGTAATGAGGTATAAGATTACCCACGCACAAACAACAATATTTATTGCCGAAATATAACCATATTGATCCATGTTCAATAAATCTTGATGGCTCTTGGTTTATCATCCACGGTTGATATTAAGATCAGACATTGTGGAATTATGCAGCAGTTTATATTACGTCAAATCCGATACGGTCTCTTGAACACCAGTTGCTGTTCTTCTACCAGACGAACTGTATGTCACGTGACTTAAAGAAAGGCAGAAAGAAAAACTTGAATGCCATGTGACTGTTTATAACGCAGATTTGTTGGTATTATAAGCACACGCTGAATTAAACTTTGATCTAGAATATCTCTAAGATAAAACTTCCGACCTCCGGTTTCCCTTTTTGATATTGGATACAGCTAATCGAGTAAGTTTTACTTAACATTAAGATTCATTATGTAGGATTTAGATAAACAGCTGCCTGTTCTTGCTATACTAGTTCGAAAATGGATAATAAAAAAATGAATATATTGAAAACATCAGTCAAATTACTTTATTTTGAGCGAAGCTATGAGTGTTTGAATTTTTAACAAGAATTAGCCTATTGCCAAATAGCATTACCGTGATGTTAATAAACGAAGTCTCGGTGACCTACGTCCAGGTGAGCACTAACAGATAATATTGCATACAGATGGTCTAATAAATTCAATAGATGAGCCATCCGATGACCTAGAGAGTTGATTGTGGGATTGTAATGTGAATAAATGTCTAAATAAAAATGTTTATATAACATTTGAAGCTAGTAAAAAGACCTACAACAGAACAGACAGGTTTAGTTCTTACATAATGCATATTTTTATATGTGTAATATCAAATAGTGCACATGGTTTAGTATAGAGTAACCATTTCTGATATTCTAGAACATGTTAGATTTTATATAGTGTATAAAACCATAAAGACGAAACGAAATATAGATATAATTTAAGCTATACACAGTAGTGTCGATTTCTTTAACTAAAATCCGGTTTATTTATTAAATAAAATATATCTGTTCTGAAATCGTCGTAAAATAACGCAGTTTTATTCAGTGGCGCGCCACCATTATGCTGGAATATTTGATAACACACGGTACGTATTTTTATTTGTCAGACTGATTATTTTTCTCAACTTAATAGCGCAACATGTTACATGTTACATTAAAACAGTTTGTAACATTCTTATTTCCGGTTCGTATGTTCGTTCAGATATAGTCGATTTGTTGTCATTGTTTTCTTACCGCTGTCTGAAAACACATAATATTTCCGACAAAGAAAAGAAAACAAAGCCAGTAGAGCGGAGCCAGCCAATTTGAAACTTGATATACACAAACCTGCTTTTTTACTATTTTATATAATAAAGGATACGCTAATTGCACCTTATGTGGGTTTCTAACAATCTAATTATATTGGTAACTCATCAGTAAATTGCAGATTCCTTCTGTCGAGCAAAACTAGTAAAGGCAGCTAAACATCTTTGAAGTTTGATATGGGTACACCTTATGTTTATAGTTAGCCGAGCAAGCAAGTGTATTATAATAATAATAAAATAATCTTATATAGCGCTGTGACATCCTGTATGTAATAATTGTTCAGATTAGAAAATATTAAAGAGATAAAATTATCACAGAATCCATGTAAAAGTATAAACTAATTTTAAGTTACAAACGATATGCAAGTTTGAAGAAATGTGTTTTTAATGTAGATTTTGGACACTGAAATATTACGGATTTCTTTTACACCATCAAAACGAGTTCTGGTCGTGGGGCAGATTAATTTATTTTGAGTTGATGATCTGAGCTTTCAGGTTTGTATGGATGTATAAGATCTGCGAGATATGCTGGTGAATTAGGATTGTTGAGGCAGTTAAAACTGAACATATTTATCTTGAAGGCTATACGATATTCAAGAGGTAGACTATCCTTGCCGCTTTGTTGTTGATTTTCTGTAGTTGATTGATATGGCAGTCAGGTAACTTGTTTTAAAATAAATCGCAGTAATCAGGAGTAGATGTTACAAACACATTTATCAATAATTTAGTAGTTAATTTGTCTAGACAGTTTCTGATATTACCGATTTTATGCAGGATGTATTCCTGCACACTTCTGACTAAAGTACAGGGATATTGCAAGTTGATACATAGTTAACACATTGACGAGGAATACCAATACTTGTATATTGATACCCATATAGGGTTAATCCCATCAGAAAGGGGAAACGCAGACTCATAAATCTTGGATATGACTAACTCCTAATGGAAATTACATACATTGAATTTTGTGATATCCATTGGATATTTTATTAACCAACAATGATATTAAATTCTTTGTATATTTGTTTCAGATAGCCACAGTGATGTCAGAGACAGAACAAAGATTAGCATTGTACAATGCTTGGTTAAGATGTAAAGATAAAATGAAAGCAGGTTATAACATCACAAGTAAGTTGTCTAATGACGTAAAATGAGGGATTCTTAACACCTTGTCTCAAACTGTCATCGCTTCGACTATACCGAATATTGTTCTGGTCAAATTAGTGACAATTGTCCGTACAATTTTAAAATCATACATTGATATCAGTACGCCTGGTCGATTAAGAGAAATTGACATGTACTCATTTAGGCCCAAGAGTGCTTACTCTTGCTCTTACGATATCCTATGTGTGCGCGGGGTTGTCCTGTGGTCGGCCAACAACTTTCAGAGTGTGTTGATTTGATATATTTTCATTTTCCTGGCTTCAAATATTATATATTATTATTTAGATGTTTATTCAATATTCATATGACACTATCTAGACTATCGGATAGTTAAGATATTAAAGGGATTAGACTATAAAATGAAAATCCGAGGATTCGTATATTATCGTAGCAGTGGTACTTGACAATCGAGACTATTTATGATATTATTCTTGTCAAAACTTCAAACATTCATAACTTTGCTCATAATAAATTAATTTGACTGCCATTTTCAATACAATAATATTCATTATTTTATTATCTATTATGTAAATCGTACACTCTGTATCTTTAATGGATATATACATGGATGTCTCTAATGATCTACTGCCCATCTTGTTATATATTTATTGGAAAGTGAAGCGGTAATAATTGATTATTTCTATATACCACTGGCCTCTTTAATAATTTACTCTATTAAATCTCATGTCAAGGGATTAACATCAGCTATAATTATAATTAAAATATTTTAAAACATGCTAATTGTCTAACTTAAACTAATCACGTAATAATGTTAAAAGCTGCTGTCGCTCCCAGAATACTCGCAACGAATTCGTAATGCATAATAACATTAGTGGGTACACTGCAACTCAGTAATGAAAATCAAGCTTAGATAGAAATTTAAAACAATTACGTATGGCGACCCGTTGGATTCTTGCATGTGGTATATCAGCTAGAAAGAGTAGGCGTAATTTGTGGTCTACATTGAGGTTTACAAATGACTCATTTTCGATATCCGAATATCTAGGGATTAATGTGTTAGGTTCTCTTTATTATGCTCAAAATTGGTGTGTAATGTACGAAAGCGACGGAGGTTTTTATGTGTAGGATAAAGCACGAGACTGAGGTTATGCTGGGGAAAGAAAGACTGAAGAAAATAACCCGAGTAAAAGAAAAACCGAGGCCGGCAGGCCGTTGTTTTTCTGTCGAGTTTTTTTTTCTGAAGTCTTTCTTTCCCAGCATAACCGAAGTCGGGGACTTTACCTTGCTTATAAACCGTCTATGTTTACATGTACGCAAAATGAGAATATCCCAGAATTCCCATAATAAAAACCTTAGATCATGTTTTCTTATGAAAAAAAACCTACCCTGGAAGAATAACCTGTTACAGGTTTAAAGAAAAACTTTCAGAAGAATAACTCCAAATTCCCCTGTATATATCCAAAGCCGCCCCGACTTTCAGACCTCAAGTTATTCCCCAAAGATCAAAGAAATTTACCGTTACAGGTTTATAATAATAAATAAGCCAATGTCCCCTGTTTAAGTATTCAACAAATTCCACCAGGGCATTGTTTCCTCCATAGCCAGATCTGGCCTCATTGCAATAAACCGTGACATATGCCGGTACACGCGACAAGGTGTTCATACTCTTCAAATATCAATTCAAATGGGTTGAAATTTTATATATCAAATAGGTTGAATATTAAAAGTCAATAATTTACAAAGCATGACTTATAGAGCAAGGACATTAGTGTTTCTTCTTTCAGAAAGATTAACCATTCTGTTTTTAAAGAATATATAAGTAGATTATATACGCACTTGATATTGTACAAATTCCTCATGTGTTTTAAATATAATTTTCCTTTTGAGATTTTTTTACTGACTTATAGAAAGCATTGAAAATAAATTGAAAACAGGTGATCTTGCTTACATTAACACGTTGATTTAAATATCTTCCACTCAAAAGTATCTACAAGACTTACTGATGCAAACATTTCATTCTGCAGAGAATGTGCCAATATTCATACCGCCAAACCCTTGTCAGACAGTGATATAATATACGTCTGTCAGCAGCCGTGTCCTTCCTCATCGCAAAGTATTGAAAAAACTTTTCCTGCATTCTAGGGGTGTTTTGAAACGAATCGTGTAAATTCAAGCCTCTTATGTATACAACATTTTTTGGGTAAAACCCCCGAGTTTGAGAGTTCTGGAATTAAAATCAAATTAAATAGAGTGTTACGCCCTGCTTGTCTGTCCCGGCATGGCTAATGAAGACGGGCAAACGCCACGCAATGTGCTATACAGTATAATGACAATTTGGCCCGGACCTACTCCGAACGACTATACGTTGTCCCTTGCCAGGACTTCCACCCTACCCCACTCAAGAACTCGGAACCTCCAAATTGGCAAGCCAACTTCTTTCTCACTGAGCCACCTGGGCTTTTTATAATTGATCCCTTTGCTAAATACACTTATTGATTCAGTATCAAGTTTGAACTTTTAACAACCATATGCCCAAAATTACTCCATTTTGAGTTTGATACAACATAGGAGATATGTTTTTTATCCTATAATGTCGTGTTTTATCTTGATGGCCCTTGCTTGTAGCCAGAATATCAACATATTATCAGAGAAACATTGAAGTAGCACCCCCGCTTTAATTTAGTTCAAACAATGGTGCTAAATAGAGTTGTTCTTATGTGTGACGGGGAGAGTTCAATAAATTGCTTTTTATGAAGTAAGCGGAAGAGCTGGTCCTATGTGTCTGTGGGATTAGTGACGAAGACAGTTTAAAAATGATTTTCATTTTTATAAAGTAAGCGAAAGTCAGTTTGTTTACTTATACGATTTTCTCTTTTGTACCTGGACCTGCACCGTCGAAGCCAATTTCGACTTTTATCTCAACAGAAACCTAAACTATTACCGCACTATTTTAGACCGGGACTGTAAACAGTAAAAGCCTAATAATTCGGTTGATATCCCAACATAAGCCTAAACTATTGCCGCAATATTTTGAACATACAGATTCAGATTTAATAAATTGTTTCGTTTGGGATAAAAATGCAAGAGATCAGGTCACTTTAAGACGTAAATTCTTTATAATCATTAGCAGGTTTCTAGTATACATGTTATCTTAATAAAAAATGGTGAATGTTCGTGTATATCAACCATAATCAAGATTATTATACTTAAAAAATCAATTTGTGTAGCATTGAAAATACCAGAGATTAAGCTAATAATGTTTGTGTCAATTTTTACCGTTCGATATCAACATTTGTGCTCTAAATCAGAAATTTTTTCTTGTCAATTACGTCCCGACTTAACCCCATTTCATTTCATTTCATTTAAAATTACGTGCTCGACGAACACCATACTGCTTTCAATAAGATCTATAGCTTATAAGTTTAATGGAAAGGTTGATTGGGGTGGGTAATATACACTACAAATTAGACTCGTTGTTCAAGCTGAAATTATTTCACAGCATATCCATATATCCACGATACAATTAATACCTTTGTTCACAATAATATGATATTGCGAGCTTACTTATTTCCTCTACAGTCTGTGAATAATATTAATCGCTTCAGAATATCAAGTAAGTAGTTGTTCAGATATTATGCATAAAGCACCGTAGTTTGTTGTCTGAGATTAGATATCAATATCAACCTGTATTGGATTGAGGTGACTGAAATAAATATTGTTAATAAACTTGTTTTATGTAGTAGTACAGTTGTGGATAACACATCAAAGCCTTGTACAGACTTTTATGAATAGAAATCAAAGCTGCAAATAGCATGCACTCACCTACTACTGATTTAACACAACCGGATCAGATAAAATCAAAAACATACTCTTAAATTTAAAGCATTATCTCTCAACACTACAACTTTGATCCCATTTCAGCTTAAATTAAAGCGGGGAGAGATAAATGTCCTTTTTATATGCCCAAATCAATCAAATTTTTTATTATTTATGATAATTACTTACTCTTGATCAGTGTATTTTCAACACCCCCAATATTTTCAAAAGAACAATTAATATGCAACTACGTTTGCGGACTGCCGGGCAATTTAGCTGGTGTAGGCATATGTTTCGTTGTCTGGTAGGGTATGCAATATATTGTCGCCACATCCACATTGTTTTCCTCTGTCATCATCATTTACCCGCCCTCACCCCCTTCTGAAAATCTTGTGAATCCAATGACGCCTACGGTTTGAAAAGAATTTATTTTTCAAATTTGGTGTGAAGCACTGGAATCTGATAGAATGAACCTTGTTGATTTTCAGCATTCTAGGACTTTCCGTTTTAGAGATATAGTAAAGCTTTAAATTTCTTGAAGACATAAAGGATCCTTATCAAACCTCCAATTTGCAGATGTCTGCGGTATCTGTTTTCGAGACATAGCTACATACTGTGTGGGCGTATTATCCTTTAGTCTTATCATAGATATCAGATTTTTCTGCCTGTTTACGTTGAAATTGATCCCTTGAAGGCAATACAGGAGAGGTCTAAGTGGAAATTGTCTTTGAAAATATAAATTTCAATCGCGTTTGGTAGAGTTATCTTTCCGTTAACATTTTGATGTTTAATGGAAAGTTTAAAAAAAACCCTTCTACCTATTAAAATAAATAATAATTCTATTGTACCATTATAATCCATTTGTAAAAATAATTGGGCTTAGACACCTTAGGTTTTGACACATTCAATTTGGATGTTAATTGTCATCAACTGCTTGAACGCTCTTCAGACCCTAGTTCGTGTCGGATTTTTGGTCCTTACGAAAATTTCGATTCGAGCAATCTCTCCGTTTACGTTGAAGCGGACAACCGCAAACAACATCATTCTCGGTGGAATATTTTAGATTAAAACACAGATCCTATTTCATTTCGTTTTTTATAGTTCAAAATTTTGTTTTACTTGTCTTTACTACACTAGGATCTGGAAGAGTTGTTATCATTGACGCGTTCTGGATGATGTGAGAGTTTAGCCAATCAAACGGTCTGTTACAGCGAACTTTTGGCATGTGGTGCACGGAACTGTGGGCAATCCACTAGAATCAACAATGCTGATTGGTTGATCAAATTTCTGACGTCATAGGGTCAAACGCCGCTCGTATGATCTCTGACGCTACAACCGGTCAGATCTTCATGTAGCGTAGTCCATCAAAAGTATAAAAAAACGAAACGAAATATAGATCTGTATTTTAATCAGATTGCGAACATCATGAATCACGAGCGTTTATGCGAATAAGAACTTCGTTACCAAAGCTTTCACTTGTGTGTTTATGTTGTTTTTTTTAAATTTCATTATAGAATTTAATTATGCTTTATTTGAAAAATATTCTATTCAATAAACTGAATTGGATTGAACAACAGGCAAATTTATAAATGCAAATCGACGAATTTTTTTCTCTTATTTTCATTGTGAAGTTTGTGAGTGTGGTACTGGGCAAAGTTCTCTTTGATTACATTCCGATTATCAAAGCTTATGAAATAATACCGGACAGGGTTATAATTGAATTTTATTTTTGATCAACTGGACATGTAGAAGTTGATATTAGAGCTGGTAAAGATAGTTAGGCTGAAGGTGGGCGTATTAGCGGAACCGAAAAGCTCCAACGTAGATACACGACAGGTGTTTAGCTATAATAGGGCAATCCAATGTTGTTCGATTGGCAATATCACACATTGTTATTTTCAGATACAAATGTTACAGAGAATGGTCTGTATTGTCCCCCGGTGTTTGATGACGTACTTTGTTGGGACGCAGCGCCAGCAAATACGACGGTGTTACAGAGCTGTCCAAGTTACGTCAACGGTTTTAATAAAAGAGGTAAGTAATGAAAAGGAAGGGATTAATCTACTCCTACAATAGATATATCCCCCACTTCCCTGCAAGCATCAAGTCAATAACAGCGCATTTGACGTTCGTCGCCAAAGAGGTGACTTACTTACTTGAAAACTTTTATCGGATGTAGACCAATCGATGGTTCAAGCCACATTCCTTTACTCCAACTATTACATACACGCTCTTTAATCATTTGGAGTTCTCGGACAAAGTTATGATTACAATGAGCGCAATTGTCGGGTCCAAAACAAATTAAGAAACTATAGACGATTATTGTTGTAAACTGGCACATCTTAAACCAGATAGCTCAAATATTTGGTGTGTGTGAATTATATATAAGGCAGACATTTTCTGTCATTTTGTTCAAACAGGGATATATTTAATCAAGTATGGATAGTGACCCAATCAATCATTGTTATTATTCTCAATGTCGTGCTGCCACATAAATCGACTTGTTAGAATGTAATTATATTTCTTCTGAAGATTTTGTGCATAGTTAAGGCTAATCAGTTTTAGATTAGATTGTTATCGACTGCTAACAATGCATTTTTATATTGTGAAAGAGACACACGGGGGACAGCTTTGAAAAAAATATTGTCTATTATTTGACATTAAAAGACATACAGCTCTATTCTTTGGGGCCTTAAATAGATATAAATTGGTATAAAGGTACATATTAATGTCATATGAATGTATATAAACTAATCTACATTCCATTTTAAATCTTTTAAACAATTATAAAAGAAAATTACTAAATTACTAATACATTATATTTTGTGAAATACGCGAACAGACCAAATTGAATGGCAATCGTTTGTTTGTGCTTCCTCTGTCGATTTTACACGTTTTGTTTTAAAAAACAAACACCCCTCCCCCACCAAAATTAGCCATATTAAATTATTCTTGTGGGACATGATTTTCTTTGTTGATTACGACTGACACCCGAAACCATATATTATTATACCCCTGTTCTTTATGTTTGTGTTTACAGTTGCCAAAATTTAAAGCACCAAACACATAAATCGCGATTATGACAAATGCAGTGTTACTTATATTGGGACAAGCGAATAAATGCAAGGTGAATGGGGGAAAACAGTTTACCATCAAGACCATAGAAAAGGCGCTCAGTGATATAATGGCATTCACTGCAAACGCCAAAAGGTGCCATATGGGAGTTATGTGTTGACTGGCCTAAATTTGCTAGCTTTGCTCTGATCGAATTGAAAGCTGCAGGAATCTTGTGGCGTAAGGTTAAGGCGATGATTGGCTCCATACCCCATCACACCACAAAACGCCAATTCCTGGGACTTGGGCTCCGTCTCTGCCTCGCATCTTTCTTCAACACTTACCATATTCCTTTCAGAAGAGTCTTAATCAAACTATTAAAATCGTTATTAGAAGTATAATGATTGAGTGTGAAAATATCATAATTTCCGTTTAAAAGAAACCATTTGTCATTGTTCTTTGTACCAATCAATAAAAAATTGCAATATTTTCATTAATAAGAAATGTTGGGCGAACTTTGTTTTCCGTTAATTATCGACATAAATCCAATCGCTTTTGATACTATTTATGGTATTCTGAGCGCATTTGGGGTGCATTTTGAAATTTATGATGTAGATTACGTAGACGAATTAGTCATTCTTTTCATGAAATTGTCATTCGTGGACCAGCACAACGCTTCTTGTTGAACGTATTGGCTAAGGGGGTGGGGGGGGGGCTTAGCCCCGTCAAAAATCGAATAAGTCCCCCCCCCCCCCCCAAATATTTCGCCAACAATAATGATTTCTTAGGGGTGTTCTTAGCCGGCCACATCCTCCGCCCCTCCAAAAAATTACGTAGCCTCACCAAATTTTAAGAGCTGGCTACGGGCCCGAGCAGCTTGTCGTTGTTGTGATGTAAGTTTGGACATTGTTGTTAATAGGCAATCTGTTTCACAGAGGATTACGAAAGTCGCGGCCTAGCGAATATTCCTGCTGATCAGTGTGATTCAGTTTGTATGTATATTATTAATACATTAATACTTTGTTTCGTTATATTTCGCTCACATTATCACAGTGAGGGCAGCACGTTTTGCACAGTGGTAAGAATTGTCGTTCAGAGGTTGTGTCTACCCAAGCTGACTCACTGTGGAAGTACTAAGATATGAAATTAAGGAATTACTGGAGAAACTAATCATTAAGAAACCAAACACAATCACAAATGAAGTAAAAGCCATTAAAGAGTTGAACCAGAATAATGCCATATAGTACCAACTGACAAGGGAACAATTATGTATTGCCTAGACAAACTACTAAACCTTATCAGACACAACAACTTTTAACAACTACCTAGTGGTTAGCGCGTGGTGCGCGTTGCATCATAAGGCATGTCATTGAGTCAACTGGCGTGGTCTGGGTTCCCCGGTTGTACGTGGCAAGGAGTAGGGTCGCCTGTCCAACCTCGTAGGTTTTATCCGGGGCCTCCGGATTCCTCCCACTGCTAAAGACCCCTACGCGCAAGCGAATTGTTAAAATAAAATTGAAAAAAATTCAACCGTATGTTGGTCCCGAAATGACCTAGTTTGTGTTGAGTGGATGTTAAACCGCATCTCTCTATTTGCATGCTAGCAAATTTGTGAAATACACCATACAGTCCTGAAATGACGCCCCCCCTCTCTCTCTCTCTCTCTCTCTCTCTCTCTCTCTCTCTCTCTCTATCTCTCTCTCTCTAAATATGGCAGCCAACTCTTACAGCAAAACCACATACCACGGAAAATCATAAGTTATGATGTTAAAGATCTTTCTTTCACATACATAGAAATGGATGAAGCAGTTCTTAATTGTGTTGGGAAGAAGAGGAACATGCAGCCAATGTAAACACCAAGATTGGCACAGATACCACCATGAAAATATTAGAACTATGCGTAAAATTAATTTATTTCCCATGGAAACACCAGGTCTACCAGCACATACATGTATTAACTCTGGTATCAGTTCACCCATCACATACATTTTTATAGCAGCCAACTCTTACAGCAAAACCACATACCACGGAAAATCATAAGTTATGATGTTAAAGATCTTTCACATACATAGAAATGGATGAAGCAGTTCTTAATTGTGTTGGGAAGAAGAGGAACATGCAGCCAATGTAAACACCAAGATTGGCACAGATACCACCATGAAAATATTAGAACTATGCGTAAAATTAATTTATTTCCCATGGAAACACCAGGTCTACCAGCACATACATGTATTAACTCTGGTATCAGTTCACCCATCACATACATTTTTATAGCAGCTTTGGGGGAAACACCAGTCCTATAACCATCTATTTGTCTAAGACAAGTGAATGATAGGTTTGCTGCAATGAAGTAAGAGGAAGTCCATACACTATTACTATACGCCCCCTTAACTCAATAAGTCGTAAAATTCAATTTACATCTGAAGTAGATAATAATAAACACCTGCCATATCTAGACACCCTAATTGACCGAAACAACATCAAGATAAACATGAATCTATACAGCAAACCAACACTCACAGACCAATATGTCAACTGTTCTTCAGCTCGCCAACGTACAACCCTGACAGGAATCGTTTGGTATCGTATTAACCCAAATAAAACACTTATTATATATGTTGTAATCTATGCCAGGGTCTTGACAAAGCTTCAGTGATAGCGTCGCTAAGAATAAAGTAATGTGAATTAAATTTTCTGTTGGAACTATTATAGCAAGGACAGTCAAATCTTTTATCCAACTCTTTCATAATGCATCTTTAATTACGTTATTTTGATGCGAAGTTAAACCTACATTTTGCAAGAGCAAAATCTGCCTTTTGCAGGTCTTTATTTAGGCCCGAAAAGTTATCTAAAATATTAATTAGACATTAATTAACTTATCCGGACCATAGTCAACTCCCGATGTCATCGCTATTCTGTGATATTTAGCGGATTGGAATGTATTTTTTGAAAAATAATTAAACGTAAAAATGGATAATTGAGACTTTGTTCTTTATCGTACCGACTTTAGTAATGATGATCGAGGCTAGTATAACCTCTGGTTTCTTCTATAACTAATAAGTTTGGAATGGTTCTTCAATCTTTTAATAACTGGAACTCATATCTTACAAATGACAATAATTCAATACATACAATGTACAGCTCAGTGGATGACGGACGTAGCTGCTCCCACGTCGGGTGACCTAAATACTTGCATCCTATTTCGTTTTTTATAGTTCAAAATTTCATTTTACTTGTATTCACTACTTCATGTAGTGTTGGCAATCGAAAGTATAAAAAAACGAAACGAAATATAGATCTGTATTTTAATCAGATGGCAGAGAGAGAAAAGAGGGAAATTGGGTTTAAAGTCCACTCGATATAAACTAGGTCATTTCGGGACTAACATATGGTTCAAGTTTATTTTAATAATTAGCTTGCGCGTATTTGTCTTTAACAGTGGGAGGAAACTGGACGACCAGGAGAAAACCCACGAGGTTGGACAGGCACCCCCTACACCTTGTCACGTACGACCCGCGAGTCGAAACCACGCCAATGACAGACATAATGATACAGCGCGCACACGTTAACCGATCGGCCATCCATAATCAGACTGCAATGATACGACTTCTTTTTCACGTTTCTGTGTATTTTTGTATCAAGTATGCAGTTTGAGAACTATCTTACTGCATGTCGGTCACTGACATAATATTAGGGTTATTTCTGTCAGAATTTATGGAAAGTTCTCTATTTTAATTACGTTAATCTATTTGTTAATAACAGCCAATAGTGTCGACAACCTTAAATATAGTCGCTATTTTCTAAATTATCCCTTATTAGAACTAGAAAGATGGGCTTCATAATCACTATCTCCGGTTGATGCAACTGCGTGGGAATCGAATTGCAGCTACATGCCTTCAGGAAAGTACAGCGAAGGCAAAAACAGTTTATGATTGCACTCTGAAGTAAAAAGGGATATAAAGCTACTTATGGTCGGGCTC